AAAAAAAAAAAATCAACATTTTGGGTGATTTTATTTTTTTAAAATGTTTTTTGTTAACCCATTATTTTGGTACACATGGTGCAAAGTTTGGACATCTTTAACCGATCCCTCTAATTGGGTTTTGAAAATTTTAAATTTTATGTGTTTGCAGCTGGTAAGACGGGCCTGGAGAAGGAGCAGGAGTTCATCAGGAAGTGCATGGAGAGCCTCCTGATGGCCTCAGCCAACATGGAGAAGGACGGTCACTCCAGCCTGACCAGCATCGAGCGGGGGCTGCTCATGCTCAAAACGCACCTAGAGGCCTTCCGACGCAGGTACACACACGCATACACACACACACACACACACACACACACACACACACACACACACAGAAAGCTGGCTTTATTTATGATGATGTTATTGTGTGTCCTGTCTGCGGCAGGTTTGCGTATCACCTTCGGCAGTGGCAGATCGAGGGGACGGGAATCAGCAGCCATCTGAAAGCTCTGAGTGACAAACAGTCTCTGCCTCTCAGGATCGTCTGTCAGCCTGCTGGCCTTCCTGACAAGGTGAGTTTCTGCACAGCCAGTCGGCTCCTAGAAACGTTCTTGGCATTCTGTCACATTCAGATGAATTTAAATTACTGGAATAGACCTGCACAAAGTGTTATGTTGGAGTAAAGTGGATAGAAATAATGCTGATGTTCTGGTTAAGAAGTCAGAATTTTAAGTTAAACATTAGCTGTGTTTCCATTGATTATTGCTCAAATTGGAATTATGAAAATATTTTTGCTCAATAGAAGCATGCCAATTTAAAAAAAACTCACATTTTTCTGTAGAAAGGTGATTTTTTTTTTTTTTATGGGATGTATCAGAATTTGTGTATTTCACAATGGAAACACTTTTATCACATCATAATCCACAACCAGATGTTGCTACTGCTGGAAAATATGAAGAAGACGACAGGAAGTGGTGGGAAGAGGATGTTTTTTAATGACTTGTCAAGTGAACAAACTTATTCATGTGATTTCTTTAATTACTTTTCCTCTTTAATGCAATTGTGACATTGTGTATTTCCCCCCAACATTAGTGGAATATTGACAAAGTCTTGTGCACATTTATAATGAAAATGCAGGTATTGTTTCTCACAAACATAATTTTAAGTTTTATTTTCCATAAGCAAACACTTTTGATTTGTTGATTGATTTAAGACTCACTGTTACATGTATAAGCATATTTCCACCACAGCTTATAACTGTTTATGTGAGAAGCAGCCATATTGAAAAGCATAGTTCACAGTTTAAGTCATAACTGGGTGTAGTTGGAGCTGCTCTCAGTTTCCCAGTGGGAAATCTGACTTCAGACGGTGTTCACCATCTTCTCTTACATTAGATGGCCGAGACTCAGCTGTTTTTGTTGTTGTTTTACAGATGACCATTGAGATGTATCCCAGTGATCAGGTTGCTGACCTGCGGGCTGAGGTGACCCACTGGTACGAGAACCTGCAGAAGGAGCAGATGAACCAGCAGGCGCAGCTGCAGGAGTTCGGTCAGAGCAGCCGGCAGCAGGGCGACTTCCCAGGTCGACTAACCTTTTACTGTGCTTATTCAACTCTTGAGGAGGAAGAACGAGATTCACATTTTGCACATTTTTATACTTTCATTTAGATCGCTGCTGCATCTAAAAACAGCCCACACAGTTTAATATATTTTGGTGTCTATAAAATGAACGGTTTCAAAAACCTCCCACTTGTTGAGTCGCAATCAACAGGCACTGCAGTGTTACCTAGCAACCCAAGCCGAGCCCTGCCCTGTTACCTAGCAACCCAAGCCGAGCCCTGCCCTGTTACCTAGCAACCCGTTTGGTCAGCTGGTTTTACCGCTGTATTCGCTGTACAATGGCTGTTGGAAAAGACAAGTTTTGTTTTGTTGTTGACAACACTTTGCAGGAGGTTCCACTTGTGCTTTTCAAAGATGTACGGTTGTGTAATTGTGGATCTATTTGCAGCCATTTACACGGAAAAGTGTAACCATATTCAATCCAAATCAACAATACTTTGTTTCGAAAGGGAAATTAAATAATGTTGACACAAACTGTGAGATGGGGTCGTGGCCAACAGCTGCTTATTTGGATTTAAAGTGACAAGACGCATTAAAAGGCTCATCCTGGAAGGAACTTTAAAATCTCATTACACTTTACAAAAAATGTAATGCTCATGTTCCGATTGGCCCATGTTTCTACTCTAACCTGTTCAAGGTGGCTGTTAGGCTGCTGCCAGTGTCCCAGCAGCGTGTGTTTTACACCTGTTGTGTGCCCTGCAGGTGGTTTGATGGGACCAGTTCGAATGATCTCCTCCGGCCACGAACTCACTACAGATTACGACGAAAAGACTCTGCATGAGCTGGGATTTAAAGACATGCAGGTGACTCGTCACAACGGTTTACAGAAAAAACGCTCCTGATTCCAGGTGACCCGTTGCTACGTCATGCGTGTGTGTGTGTCCGTCCGCAGATGGTGTTTGTCTCTCTGGGAGCGCCACGGAGGGAGAGGAAGGGGGAGGGCGTCCAGCTGCCGGCCTCCTGTCTGCCTCCGCCGCAGAAGGAGCACATCCCCATGCTGCTGCTCCTCCAGGAGCCACACCTCACCACGCTGTTCGACCTGCTGGAGATGCTGGCCTGTTTCAAACCTCCCAGTCCAAACACAGAGAAGCTGCAGGAGAGCCCAGAGGTGCTGCAGCTGTCCTTCCCTTCTCTGTTTATTACATTTAGTGCTTTTCTAGCCTGTAAACCTGTGTGTGTTTAATCCAGAGCGCACGCTGCGAGGAGCTCCACCTCCACGCAGAGAATCTGTCCCGTCGGGTTTGGGAGCTGCTCATGCTCCTCCCTACGTGTCCCAAGATGCTGCAGGCCTTCCAGAACATCTCAGACGAGGCGGTTAGTCACAACAATGAACAGATCGTTCCCATGAGTCAGTTGCAGACAAAACACTAAAACTCACTCTTTCTGTCTGTAACTGCAGAGCGGGGAGGGCCTTTGTTGGAAGGAGCTGTTGAGGATTAAAAGTCCCCACAAGCTGCTGTACGCGCTGGAGATCATCGAGGCGCTGGGAAAACCCAACAGGCGCATCCACAGAGAGTCGACTGTAAGAGAAGCACAACCCACATTTCAAACCTGGTCTCTGGTGTGTTTTTCTTCCTACGCTGCAAGTATTTTGGGTCAAGTTTCTAAAGTAAATATCTAATTACACTTGAAATAAGATAAAACTGACTGAGAGTAATATTTCAGCAAGATATCAGAGGTTGTTTTAAGTCAATAATTCCTTAAAATTGGGAAATAATTACGTGCACATCGGCAGATTATTTGCTTTATGAGGGAAATAATCTTTCAATGGAACAAGTACTTTTTAAATACTATTAAAGATTTACTTACTTACTTACTTAAAACAAGCTCAAAAGGTTACTTGTAGGTTAGTTTAGTCTTATTTCAAGTGTATTAAGATATTTGCACCAGAAATTTGACTAAATATACTTGATAAGATTTAGTATTTTTGCAGTACAAGCGGTAAATCAAGTGAGGTTAGCACAAATCCAGGTAGACCAGAGCTGATTTACAGAATAAAGTCAATTATTTAGTTTGATTTCTATCCATAAATACAAGTTTACTGCTCAAATAAATGACCGTACACTAATTTTGGGGGGAAAACAAATTAAGTAACTTTCTGTTTTATTCACAGGTAATGTTAGAAACCCAATTATAATTATATGAAGCTTAAATAATAAAATAAGTTCAGTTTTCTAAATGAGCCTGTTGCTCAGATACTTGAGACAATATCTTCATTTCCACAAACTATAAACATTCAAGCCGTGAAGTCAGGTCCACTTTTTCAGTTGTTTTGGTGAATTTCTGATCTGTGGGTTTTAAAGTTTGATTTACTGATGTTTTCTGTCCTTTCTCAAGCTCACACCTGTAAGCTTATTGGTGGTTTGGATGTACAAATTCCTCATCAAATATTTAAGAATGGCCTTTAAAACACAAACGTCAGACTCTGAATCGAAGTGCGTATTGGGAGTGAGTGTTTTTAACTCCAGTCTGTGCGTTTTCAGGGCAGCTACAGCGATCTGTACCCAGACTCTGACGACTCCAGTGAAGATCAGATAGAAAACAGCAAGAACACCTGGAGCTGCAAGGTACAGGAAACAGCTGACAGTAAAATCAGAACAACATGTTGAATATTTAATGGCGTACCTGATGATTTACACTCCTCACGCCGTACTGCAGTTTGTTTCATCTGGAGGTCTCCAGCTGCTCCTGGAGATCTTCAACTCTGGCATCCTGGAGCCCAAAGATCAGGAGTCCTGGACTGTGGTGAGAAATCCTGTTTTAGCTTCAACCACATGTGAAACAGGAGTTTGTTGACAAGTCTCATTCTGATTCTTTATTGAAATGTTTCTCTCAGTATTACATCTTCTCTATTATATCCCACATAATATGCTGAGCTAATGCTAACTAGCTTTAATATGACTTGTTGATAATCCAGCTTGTAACAGATGGTAATTCAGTTAAAGTTAACCAGGTGCAAAATTCACAGAAAAAACTTTTCTCCTTCTTTGCTTTGTACGTCCTAATTTTTAATGGCAATTGTTTCGGCTGCTTTCTGCAGAACTCTGCTTTGCAGCAGTCACATGACATGTCTAAGAGCAGGTGCAGCTAACACAGCTCCTACTTTCTGATAAAAATCTGTTTAAAAGAAGAAAGAGATTTGGATTGTATGGAAAAACCCAGATTCATCTGAGTTTTATAAACTCTACAAACAGAAATAAGACTAGCAGCCGTAAAAAGAAATCTGGAGCGATGGGCTCAGAGATTCTTTCAAAACTTTTGTCATTTATTCATGATTGTGAGGATACATGACCATGTTTTCTCTGACTGTGTGTTTTCCACTCGTTTTGCCTGCAGTGGCAGCTGGACTGCCTCGCCTGCCTCCTGAAGCTGATCTGCCAGTTCGCAGTCGACCCCGCAGACCTGGACCTGGCCTACCACGACGTCTTTTCCTGGTCCGGCCTTGCCGAGAGCCAACGCAAACGGGCGTGGCCTGGAAAATCCCGCAAATCCACGGTGGAGCACGGAAAAAGCCTGCACATCCCGCGCCTTACAGAGGTCGGTGCTCCGGTCGGCTGATGGTTGATGAGGAGACTTTCTGAACCGCTCACCTGATCATTCCTCTCCTCTCAGGTCTTCCTCAGTCTCGTTCAGGGCACCAACCTGATTCAGCGGCTCATCAATGTGGCCTACACCTACGACAACCTCGCACACAGGTGAGCAGCGGCTCAAGAAATTGTTCACTCATTTTTAAGGGGCAGTGTTATGTAAAAATGACTTTTTTTTTTAGCTTTATATCATGTTATACTGTTATTCACTCATCAAAAATATACCTGGAGGATTGCCTTAATTCTTTCATGTGGATTTGAGAAGTCTTTTAATCGCCATGGCAACCATTCAGCTGTGGAAAACACCTGGATGGACCTAGCTCCTCCTCTGAGCTGCAGTTTCCAAGCGTCTGCCTTACAGATCAGCCCTCGCATTCGACTTCTCCACTCAGCTCCTTCAGACTAGCCAGCAGCAATTAGCAAACAGCTGGTAGAACTGCTGAGCTCATTATAGGAGCTACTGTCGGTGCCACACTGATAAAAACATTGTTAAAGGGTTAATAGAGTTTCAGAAAGATAAGGAGCTTTTAAAGAGACAGAGGGACAATTTAAAGCCATTAAATTAAGAAGTCAAATTTCTATTAGGTTATATTTGATATACAGCACTGGGTGGGAACAAATGAGAGATCTCTTAAAATGATCAGTCTCTCTGATTTTACTCTTTATAGGTTCATGTTTGAGTAAAATTAACTTTGTTCTTTTATTCTATGAACTGCTGACGAAATGTCTCTGAAGTTACAAGCAGTAATTTAGTTTTTATTTGCAGAAAATGAGAAATGGGCAAAATAACTAAAATGATGCAGCGCTTTCAAACCTCAAATAATGCAAAGAAAACAAGTTAATATTTATTTAAAAGCAACAACATTAATGTTTTAACTCAGGAAGAGTTCAGAAATCAGTATTTGGTGGGACAACCAGGAGGTTTTCAACGCGGTTCGGTGCAGTTTGCTTAGTTTTTCCAGAGCTTTATATAGCATTTTTATAACAACTGAAGGGAACATGGTTACTTGATTGTCCTATAAAATACATAATGCTGCCCCTTTAAGTTTTCTAACGAGATGAATAATAAATTACATTTTTCTGTTTTTGCTTCAGAGTCCTAAAGGCTCAGTCTGACCACAGGTCGCGGCATGAAGGTAAGAGTTGATGCCACTTGGCTCCAAACAACAAATATATAAACCTTTAGAAGTCCTGATGAGTAGGAGTGGAAACAAATCAGATGTTTTTTCATCCTGACGCTGTGGTTTTTGTTGCTGCAGTGACTCACTACTCGATGTGGCTGCTGGTGAGCTGGGCTCACTGCTCGTCCACTGTGAAGTCCAGCCTGGCCGACAGCGACCACCTCCACGATTGGCTCAAGAAGCTCACGCTGCTGGTTCCTGAGGTGAGCCGCTTGTTACGGTTAAATAAGAACTGAATCTTTTGTCTTTGAGAGTTTGATTTAATCTCATAACAACAAGGATAAAGTCTCTAAGCGGTTTTCCTCAGAGCAGAACATCCTGCTCTAAGACGACCTTCACATACCGGCAGTTACACCACTTTATTGATGTCTAGCACACACTCTCTGCTGCTTTACCTGGTGATTAACTTAGCAACAACACATTTTTACAAGCCGACTTTGCGGTACCGTAACGCTGCGTTATTTTTGCGCTACCTGAAAAATTCCAACGTTTTCTGAAAAGGGAGACGTTACAGTAATTTCGCACCTGCCGTTGCAGGAAGCATGTTTTTCTTCATTTTAATCTGATGAAACACTCTTAATAGACTGTAAATTGTAAAAACTGCTAGACATTGAAAGTTCCAGTTGTTATGGAGAAATGGGAGAAATTATTTACTCACAGGACATTTAAAGAACTTCATGCAATTAAAATAAGCCAAAATATCCAGACGGAGATTTTAAACTTTTTTATTAAAGCTGCAGTATGCAACTTTAATCTTTTTTTTTTTTTACGTATTTGTTGAAACTGTCATTATGAGTTGAGCTAAAACAACCAATCACAGCCAGGAGGTGGGTCTTAGCGCTGTCAATCATGGCTATATATGCGCCGCTCAACCCTCCTTCATTACACGATTCCAACACCTTCAATCCAGCCCAATTTCTCCTGGATTATTATTTTTAAAGCATGTTTTGTTTTAGTGACAGAGTGTTTATGGACATATTTATAGTTTTTGTTTGTTGTAGCAGAGCACAGTGAAGCAACAAGATAAAGTGTGCTTTAAATTTAAAGTTGATTTATTGCTTTTCTTTTTAGCCGGCCGTGAGGCACGAGGCGTGTAACGGCCTCTACAAGCTCTCCCTGTCCGGTTTGGAGGGTGGAGAGTCCATCAACCGATCCTTTCTGCTTCTTGCCGCCTCCACGCTGCTCAAATTCCTGCCTGATGCTCAGGCTCTCAAACCACTACGGGTGAGTTTACTGCACACAAACACCTGCAGATGTTGGTCCAGAAAAGGAGCTGGCAAGCTACACTCTGTGTCAGTGGTCCTCTGGGACGATGATTTGACTCAATTTGAGCTTTGCTACACAAAATCCAGTTGGTTTCTTCGAGACATTGTCCCCTTGATGGGGTAAGAAAAACTGGGACACAACTTCATGAGCAAAGATGGAGAAGCTTGGTGGTAAAAACTAAAATTCACCAATAGGAGAAAAGCCCGTCACAATAAGCAGAAAATCAATTAATCCATGATGAACACAAACAGGCTTGATCATTTCCATTTGCATGTTTGTTTTTCTAGTTTCTTTCTCTCTTTCTACCAAAGACTGAAAGACAAAAGTCTTCACTCTGGTGCTTTGGTATCAAGCAGCTCCGTTTTTTGAAATGACAGAGACTTGAGGATCCATTTTATTTGTTTTGGTTTTTTAAAATGGCTTCCAGTTCCAATGTTAAGTGTTAAAAATTCAAGCTTATTGATCTTTGAGAATGTGTTCTTGCATTATCATCCTTATATTGCTTGAAAATGGTCTCAAAACAACAATATTATCGCAATAACGTCTGGGAGAATTTATTGTCCATCGTAATTGGTTATTGTGATGCATCTAATCGGAGATCTGTCTTGCCAGGTTTAGGAATTATATTCAAATTGTGTTAAATATTTCTTTCCAGCCTTCGTGTTGTGAGCTGTCCTTTTTTATTCATATTGGAAGCAGAGGAGTCAACAGCCATGTTTCCATTGACCTAAAAGCTGCAGAAATTGGAATTACAAAAATGCATTTGCTCAACAGAGATGGACCAATTAAAAAAATAAATAAATTTGTGCTATATTGAGGTGTTTATAAGCTTCATCAAAATAAATGTATTTCACAAAACTAGTGGAAACAAATCTCCATTACATAACTATTCCTAATTTAATGGAAGCAACATAATTGCAATTTTGTTTTTTTATATTAGCGGGTTACCAACAAGGTTTGCATTTTTGTGAGCTTTACTCACAGTTTGTATCTGCAGGTGGAGGATTACGAGGAGGAGCCTCTGCTGCGGACCGGCTGTAAGGAATATTTCTGGCTTCTCTGCAAACTCATCGATAACATCCACGTGAAAGATGCCAGCCAGGTGGGAGCGTCAGAGCGCTGTCCTCGCGTTCATGCACAGTTTGTTTCATCTTCCTGGTGTTGCTTTGAGCTGCTGCTAGTATTGGTCTGTTTGAACTCACAGAAGGTCTCTCCCTCTCTGTCGCTGACCGGCACGATGCAGACCACGCTGCTGGACCTCGACGCTCTCGCCCGGCACCTCGCCGACTGCATCAGGAGGTGGGACAGCTGCAGATGGGTGACTCAAACACTTTATTTGAAGGGGTGTGCATAAGACCGACATGATGCTGTCATGAACATGAAGGGGTCTTCATGAATGTTTATGATCCTTAGCATGAAGCGTCATTCGGTTAATAATGACGTCACTGCAAAACACAAAATCTTACCGAGTATTTTTGGTCTGGTTTCTACTCCAAATAAGCTTTAAAGAAGACAAAACTATCTTACAAGTAACTTTTTAGTAAGACTTGGATGACATTATGACATTATTTGAGAATGACAAATAATGACATTGTCACTATTTGATATTATAATGATTATATTATTTCAAATAATTAGCATTATTCTGTAAGTAATGACGTTTTTATGCAAAGTTGCATTAAAACTTGCATTAAAAAAGTCAACTTTACATTAAAAGTGTCTTTATTTACCAAACAACACTTCATGAAAACAAACATTCATGAAGAATCCTTCATGTTTATTACAGAGTCATGTCACCCCTTCAAATAAAGTGTCCCTGATATTTCTCGGCTCATACTGAGTGATGTGTTGACTTTTGCGAAGCCAACTGATTGGGTTTGGTTTTCCTTTTCACACCCAGCCGGGAGATCCTGGACCAGCAGGACGGGAACATCGAGGACGACGGGTTGACGGGCCTCCTGCGTCTCGCCACCAGCGTCCTCAAGCACAAGCCGCCGTTCAAGTTCTCCCGCGAGGGACAGGAGTTTCTGCGGGACGTCTACAACCTCCTCTTCCTCCTGCCCAGCCTGGCCGACCGGGCTCAGCCCAAGTGCAAGTCCCACCCCGCCCGCGCGGCCGCCTACGACCTGCTGGTGGAGATGGTGAAGGGCTCGGTGGAGAACTACCGGCTGCTGCACAACTGGGTCATGTCGCAGCACATGCAGTGTAAGAACAGCTGCTTCCTCTCTCTGCCCCAACACTGAGACGATTTCTATCCGCTAAAGTCGTTTTGGTGCTTTAGGCTCTGCTTCCACATGGATTTAGCATCTAGGGACGTTAGAAACGATAGTTTTTGAAAAAGGTTCCAGAGCAGATAAATTTCAGAACGCCGGTTTGACGTTTCCATGTGGCCATGCCAGCTGCGTGTTTTTTTTTTTTTTAATGATGAGGTTGTAGCTGCGTTTGGCTCGCTGTCGTGCGCCTCGCAGCAGGGTTGCCAGGTCTGACAGTTTCCAGCCTAAACAAAGTAAAACCAGCACAACTTCAATAAAACAGCCCAAATTTCAACTCGATAAAACTTACATTAATACCACCTGATCTTATTTTAACTTGTCATCTTACCTTTTATCTTCTACCTCATATGTTCTTTTCTTATATTTTATCTTTTTATTTTGTTATCTTTTATCTTACCTCTTATATCTTTCCTATCAAGCTGCCATGCCGGTTTGTTGTCTCTGTTCATGTGACGACGTCACGGTTTGCACAGTAAAACCAGATATTCTGCGTTGCCCAACTGGAACACAGTGGAACCTCAAAGTTTTGTCTTTTCTGTAGAAACATGAAACACTGGTTTAAAACACTCGCAGGAACCGGAGCGGGCTCCGAACGGCATCCATGGAAAAGGCCCATCAGTGTCTGAATTGTGTCCTTGCAGAGTAAAAAAAGTTCCACGCAGTGATTTGTTGTTTCCTTCCAGCTTCTCACGCCCCGTATAAGTGGGACTACTGGCCCCACGACGACGTCCGGGCCGAGTGCCGCTTCGTTGGGCTGACGAACCTCGGAGCAACCTGCTACATGGCGTCCACCATCCAGCAGCTGTACATGATCCCTGAGGCCCGACAAGCCGTCTTCACTGCACAGGTCAGGAGCTGCAGCTGCTCAGGAACATTTAAACGGGTCCCTGCGGTGCCTTAACTTGAACTTTAGCAAAGTGATCTCAAGGAAAGTGCTTGATTTCCATACAAAGTGTTTGATATTCAAACATTAATTACAGTTGAAACCTGATATTTTCCACCACCCAATAAAGACCCATTTTTTTTCTCTGAAGTTAAATCAGACTAAACTTTTCTTATTTCAGGTTGGTTAGAATTACCATCATTATTTCTATTGCTAAATGTAATTTTTACAGATTTCTTTGTATTTTGGGATGGAACGTAATTTACCCCAACAAGATTTCTTTTGAATGTTTCGGTGTGTTGAATATTTATTATTCCTAATGTCTCAATGACTTCAGGAATAAATGTGGGCTTATATTTTATATGTAAAAAATGATTGAAAAAGGGATATTTTCTAAGTGTTTTGTTCTCGAACCAGTTGGTTGTATATGGTGTGTGTGAGAAAGGGACATTTCAAAACATAACATTTTGTTATGATTTAGCATAAGTTATCCCTGCGGCAGAATGTTAAAGTATTATGACATTATTAATATCTGCAATAAATGCCACAAATGAATTTAAACTCTCTTTATTTATTTTATATTGCTTTTATGTCCAAAGTGTGATGCTGGAAAAGTGCTTGGAATTTTTTTTATTGTGGAAAGTTTTCAAACCCTGATTTAAATTCATTACATAGTTTAAAGTATTTATTGTTTGTGTGTGTGCAGTACTCTGAGGAGATCAAACACAAGACGACGCTGCTGGAGCTGCAAAAGATGTTCACCTATCTCATGGTAAGCTTTCCATGTTCGACTTCATCACATTTTCTAAACATCACAACCACAAACCTGAATTTATTTTATTATTTTAAATGATAACCAGCACAAACTTGCATTTAATTGCGTCACAGAGGTGCAGTTAACCTCCATGATGTTGTTCATCTGTCTGTGTGTTCAGGAGAGCGAGAGGAAGGCGTACAACCCTCGACCTTTCTGCAAAACGTATACGATGGACAAACAGCCTCTGAACACCGGCGAGCAGAAAGACATGACCGAGTTCTTCACCGACCTCATCACCAAGATCGAGGAAATGTCCCAGGAGCTGGTGAGCACTCAAATATGAGTACGGTCTCTCTAAAGAATGGTTCTGAGGCGTGAAATGTAGAAAATGTGGAATATTTAAGACAAAATTAGACAAAGACACCATGACTCCATTTTAAATTAATCCCATTAATTATGTTGCTCTACAGAAAAACACGGTAAAGACTCTGTTTGGAGGCGTCATCACCAACAACGTTGTTTCTCTGGTGAGTAAACAACTTTACTTTAAGCATTTTGTTTTTACTTGTTTTGAATAAACTCTTTTATAGGAGAATATGCGTCGGTGATTTGAAGCTGTGCTTCAATGTCGTGTTTCCATATTAACTGTTAGTGGTGAAGTTACTTTTGCAGAGAAAACAGAGAAAATGTTAAAAATATTGGAATATTTTTGTTTAACTCCCCTTCGTCTTTTGCATCTGGAAACATTGCAACATGCCTCATTATTTCCCAGCTAATAAACACCTTTGTTTGGGAGTTATTGAGTAGAAGCCAATTAATACTCTGCAGAATAGAGACATTAGTTTTCTCTCCAGGATCAGTCTGTTCTTACACCTCTGGTTTGGGAATTTGTGCAGCATTAAAACACAATAATGCTTTTTTTCCACTGAGCGTTTTGGGCCAGTGCGGTTCTGTCCGCTATTCTGACCATTTCCACTGCAAAAACGGCACAAATAACGGCCGATACTGCATCTCTTTCTTTAAATTGCTTTTCATTTCGCTCTTCTGGGCGAGGATTGAGCTACTTTAAGATGCAATACAAATATTAGAGGTTGAATAACGGCTGATATGATCCAGAAAAGATGTTGATTTGACTTAAAGCATTTCTTTTTTTAAACACAGACATAAATGTATTGAATTACAAATTAATTTTCTAACTCTGCGCCAGTACAGCAGTTGAATACCGGGTTGACAATAAACAGCAACAAACCTTTCAATTGGTTCAGAAAGTGGAACTAGGAATTCTAGATATATTATAAAATAAGTAATAAAAGCATAATAAAGCATAGAATTAGACTAAACAGATCTGCCCTTCTGGATCCGACACAATAATAATCTAATGTTTTTCCCAATATATGGGCCGATACAGATATTAATATCAAATCTGCGCATTTCTGCAATCAAAACTTCAGAGGTCAACTTTTAAAGCTTCAGCCTCATTTGAAGACGTGACAGTTGGCTGTAAATGATTTTAGTTTTTCTTGCAGGATTGTGACCATGTCAGTCAGACTGCAGAGGAGTTTTACACAGTCAGATGTCAAGTGGCGGACATGAAGAACATCTACGTAAGCTTCGGATCCTGCGTAGGGTTTCTCACTTCCAAGAACTGCCATCACATCCTAGTTCCCGGCTCTCGTTTCTTAATTAGGAGTCTCTGGACGAGGTGACCATCAAGGACACGCTGGAAGGCGACAACATGTACACCTGCTCGCAGTGCGGCAAGAAGGTCCGCGCAGAGAAAAGGTGAGAGAATCCAGGCACTTCCTACAATAAGAGATGAGTGGCGACTGTCGTCTCACCGCTGGCCATCTTTGGTCCCTCAGAGCTTGCTTCAAGAAGCTGCCGCGCATCCTGAGCTTCAACACCATGAGGTACACATTCAACATGGTGACCATGATGAAGGAGAAGGTGAACACACACTTCTCCTTCCCGCTGCGCCTCGACATGACTCCCTACACGGAGGACTTCCTCATGGGCAAAGGAGAGCGCAAAGAGGGTCCGTACCAAAATGCTCAACATGTGTTTTTGGTTTTAACCCTTTCCTGCTTGAATCATGACAAACTCACCTTTTACTTTTCCTGTTTTCAAATGTCCATGTAGAAAAACAACTTGTGTTTTAGACTTTAAAATGTAGCTGCGATGTAACGTCTTACCGTTTGCTGACGTTAAAAAATGAAACTAGTTCCTGACTTTGTGTCGTCTTCTGCTCCGATTTGTGCCTCAGGTTTTCGGGAAGAGGGGGAGCAGAGCGTTACGGAGAGCTACGAGTACGACCTCATCGGTGTCACCGTGCACACGGGCACCGCGGACGGCGGCCATTACTACAGCTTCATCAGGGACATCGTCAACCCCCACGCCTACAAGAACAACAAGTGGTGAGGGTCGACATGCGCTTTGGCGTAACGCTCTGCAGCTTTTAGAGACGCACTGATCCAGTGTTAATAGCTGTATGGGTACCGATATTTTAAATATTCTAGATTGGGGATCGGTAATCCAAAAGGGCAGATCTATTCAGTCTAATTCTATGCTTTCACTGTAAAAACACAAAATCTTACCAAGTAATTTTGGTCTATTTTCCAGTGTAAATATCTCAGTACACTTGAAATAAGACAAAACTAACTTAAAAGTAACTTTTCCACAAGAAATAGAGGCTTGTTTTATGTAAATAATTCCTTTATTGATTTAAAAAGGTAGTTGTCCTATTGGCAGGTTATTTGACTTTTAACATGAAATAATCTGCCAATGGAACAAGTATCTTTTTCATCAATATTAAGGAATTATTGACTTAAAACAAGTTCCTGTTTCTTGCTGAAAAGTTATTTGTAAGTTAGTTTTGTTATTCCAAATATATTTGCACTTGAAATTAGACCAAAAATTACTTGGTAGGATTTAGGGGTTTTGCAGTGTTATGCTCTGAGTAATGACAAACTTTCTGAACTATTTGAAAGATTTGATGAAGTTTATCTGTTGCTTTTGTCAGTTTTAGTTTATTATTTATTTTGGCTGTTTTACTCCTAATTGCACTGACTGATAAGCTAAAGTTTTGTTTTTACATGTGTGACCAGGCCTGTTGGTGTAATTCAGCACATTTATTTATTCATGCATCTTCATTAAAAAAAAAAAAAGTAAAGAAAGATTTTAAGTAAATGAATGTATGTTTATGTATCGGATCGGTATCTGCTGATGCCAAACCTCAAACGTCGGTATTGGAAGTGAATAAAGTGGGTCGGTGCATCCCTGATCCTGATGAGGATTTCCAGGTTTCTCATCCGTCTCTGAAAACCTGCAGGTATCTGTTCAACGATGCAGAGGTGAAGCCCTTCGACTCGGCCCAGCTGGCCTCCGAGTGCTTCGGAGGAGAGATGACGGTACGAGACGCAGCTGCTTTACAAATTAAATCACTGCGTCCCGCTGACACATTCTGTTATTTACCCATCAGACCAAAACCTACGACTCCGTCACCGACAAGTTCATGGATTTCTCCTTCGAGAAGGTAAGAATTCATTTCCTGTTTTGATTTTTTTTTTCTGTATGTAACTGATTTAACAGCATCTATGTGCTGATCTGATGTGCAGACACACAGTGCCTACATGCTGTTCTACAAGCGAGTGGAGCTGGAGGAAGAAAACGGAAAAGATTTCAGTTTTGATGTCTCTCCTGATCTGCTCGAGGTGGCCAGTTATTTTTTTCCCCATTAAGTTTTAAATTTTAACTCACGTTTATGACGAGCATCACTCACTTAAGTCTCTCTGCGACACTTTCAGTGGATTTGGCATGACAACATGCAGTTTCTGCAGGACAAAAACATCTTTGAGCACACATATTTTGGGTGAGTCTTGTTACTTTTACTGCATCACCGTTTTGCTTCGCTGTTTTCTAATTTCCTGCTGTGTTTTCAGATTCATGTGGCAGCTGTGCAGCAGCATCCCCAGCACCTTACCGGACCCTAAAGCCGTCTCACTCATGACCGCAAAGGTTAGAAACTGTTCAGCTTCCTGTCAGTTCATGGACTAAAGTAAAATTTTATACAAAACGTCGAACGGCATCAAAAATTATATATATTTTTAAAAAATAGCTTTTATTCATGTTCTTTCTTTTGCAGCTCAGCACATCTTTTGTTCTTGAGACTTTCATTCACTCTAAAGAGAAGGTAACGTGTGCTCCAGTGTGGAAGGATATTCAGTTTCTGTTCAGAATAAATGAACTGTTGTTGTTCCTTACCATCCAGCCCACCATGCTGCAGTGGATTGAACTTCTCACCAAGCAGTTCAACAACAACCAGGCAGCCTGCGAGGTTTGAGCTTTAACACGATTCTCTGCTGAACCTTCATCTTAAGTTATTTACTTATTTATTCTGCCTTTTTTTTCTCTTTCTTATTTCTACCCAAAGTATCTGTGTGATCCTAAAATTAATTAAAACATGGAATATTAGAAAACCGGGATAAAAAATGTCAAGAAAAGATCAAAGCATTTTGTTGGTATTATTTAACACACAACATAAAAAGCTTGTTGGTTATGTTCTGTGTTTTGACTGAGCCTTAAATTTGTTCATATTTTTTATTTTTCTCTCACTTTTTTGATGTTTTATTTTCTGTTTTCCTTGTTTGTTCTTTTTGCTTATTGATCAATACCGCGGTTTGCTAGTCTGTAATATTTGTTTTCTGTGCACTAATTTCATAAATCCCTCATTTTTACGACTTTGTATGTCACCTAGTTTTGATATCTTTTTTTGTTCTTGTTCTTTTTTCATTAATTAAACTTTGGGACAAAATTTGTTAGTTATTTAAGTCATGCAACTCGTATTATGTGATCAAATATCGTTCCTACATGTTCAGTTGCTTTTTTTCTTCCTCAGTGGTTTCTGGATCGGATGGCGGACGATAACTGGTGGCCGATGCAGATCCTCATAAAATGCCCCAATCAGATCGTCAGACAGGTGAGCAAGAATAGAAATGCATCCAACTGAATGTCTGAATTTCACAGGTCTTGATTTCAGTGGGGGGGTTTTATCAGGTTGAATAAAAGTTTAATAAAAAATTATAAAAACATCTGCTTAGCAAACAGCTTAAACGGTGCTATCTGGTTCTAACATTTGTAAAACTTTGTCTTCCAGATGTTCCAGAGGTTGTGCATTCATGTCATCCAGAGGCTGCGGCCAGTTCACGCCCACCTGTACCTGCAGCCAGGAATGGAGGACGGGTACGTCTGAGCTGATGGAGATTCTGCAGCTGTTGTCGTTTACTTGTCCAGTGATGATGTGCAGTTCATGCAGTTTGTATTTTGTTTTCACACCTGGTAGTTGGGCAGATTCGATTGGATTGGGGACCAAAATTGCAGCATTTGTTACATTTTCAGTTGATGCTTTGAAAAGCCTTTTCCTCTTCTCGCATGTGGTGGCGCTGCAGCAGGAAACACTGAAGGAAATGACATCCTGGTTTACATTTGTTCATGAAATGACGATGGAGAGGCATCAGATTTTAGTGCAGCCATTTCTCCTTCTAGCACTAAACAGGCGCATTTGATTTGGTTTATTTACCCAGAATGCCCCACACTACACACTGCTTCCTGCTTTTGTTCACCTCGGCAGTTTTGTGGGCGAACTGGACTTCACCTTTTTAGTTCGCATCAGAGTTCAATGGTGCATTCACACCTCCCTTAAATGCAGCGTTAAAGTGTGATAGATACTTTACACTCAGCAGTTTACGTTTCTGACTTAGTTTCCCAGAGTAGTTTTGTATTAATCAGCCGTGTTGTGCCTAACTTTCAGTGCACCCCTCTCTTCTCTTGTGTACGTTCAGCTCCGATGACATGGACGGCCCCGTGGAGGACATCGGGAGTCGATCCTGTGTCACTCGATTCGTCAAGACCCTTCTGTCCATCATGGAGCACGGCGTCAAGCCTCACAGCAAACACCTGACCGAGTACTTCGCCTTTCTCTACGAGTTCGCCAAGATGGGGGAGGAAGAGGTTCGTTTCATGTTTATTCTGGCACTCAGCCCACCGAGGTGTAAACGTTTTCTCTGCCTCAGCACAACGGCGCTGAATCAATGGATGGTTATGTTTTTTTATCGAACTCTCTGGTGACCTGCTGAGAAACGATCCAGCTGAATTTATTCAGCCAGTAAAAACCTAAAGCACGCATTCAAAGATCTGAAAGCTAAATTTCTGTTTCTCTTCTCCCCGTGTTGAACAGAGTCAGTTCCTGTTGTCACTACAAGCCATTTCCATCATGGTGCACTTTTACATGGGAACCAAAGGTCCAGAAAATGTAAGTTCACACACAGATAACTGCTGTAAAACTGCACAGCCAGCAGGTAACCGTAATGGGATGAACTGAGCTTTGTTCCTCCTCAGCCTCAGGTTGAGGTGCTGTCAGAGGAAGAGGCAGAGGAGGAGGATGAAGAGGAGGACATCTTGTCTCTAGCAGAGGAGAAATATCGTCCAGCTGCTCTGGAGAAGATGATCGCGCTCATCGCTTTGCTTGTGGAGCAGTCTCGCTCTGAGAGGTTCGACCAGCTGATGCAGACACGACGGAGCGAATATTGATCTGTTCAAAATAAATAAATCAAAATAAAAATCACATCTCTCTCTCTCCAGACATCTGACTCTTTCCCAGAGCGACATGGCGGCTCTGACCGGAGGAAAAGGTTTCCCCTTCCTGTTCCAGCACATCCGAGACGGCATCAACATCAGACAGACCTGCAACCTCATCTTCAGCCTCTGTCGCTATAACAACCGCCTGGCTGAACACGTAGGTTTCTGTTGCTTGTGTGGTAGCAGCAGTTTTAAAATCAGCGATAGATTATTTTTAAAAATGGACTAATGGTTGTTTTTCTTCTCAGATCGTGTCGATGCTCTTCACCTCCATTGCCAAACTCACTCCTGAGGTAACAACAAGATCCTCTTGTTTAAAGGGGCAGTATGATGTAAAATTGACCTTTTACACCAAGTTATAGTGTTACTCCCTCAACAACAGCACAACTGGAGTGTTGCTTTGATTCTTTCACGCATGCTTGAGAAATCCTGTAATCGTCATGGCAACCATCCAGCTGTGCAAAACGCCTGGTTGGACCTGGCTCCTCTTCAGAGCTGCATTTTCCAGGTTTCTGAGCTTCTGCCTCATAGAGCAACCATTCCCACTCAGCTCCTTCAGACTAGCCAGCAGCAATTAGCAAACACCTGGTGGAGCTGCTCATCTGCTGGGCTCGTTATAGAGATATTTCTCAGTGAAATGGTGGTAAAAACGTTGTTAAAGGGTTAATAGAGGAGCCGTGTTGTGATGACTTCCTGAAGGCGGAGTTTCATAAAGAGCAGGAGTTCTTAAAGAGACAGAGGCGTTAAATAACAAAATCTAATTTCTTTTAAATCGCATGCTATATAAAGAGCATTTTTTAACTGAAGGCAACTTGGTTACTCGATTGTGCTGTAAAATGGCACTAAGTTCCTGGAAAATACATAATACCACCCCATTAAAATAATGTAAACATGCTGAAGAAAGAGTTTTGACCACGTCTCCTTGTAAAGGTATAAATGTTTCCCTCTTTCCCATCAGGCTGCCAATCCTTTCTTCAAGCTGCTGACCATGTTGATGGAGTTCGCAGGCGGACCTCCGGGGATGCCCTCCTTCGCCTCCTACATCCTCCAAAGGATCTGGGAGGCAAGTAGAGCCAATCGATCTGATCGATCAAATCACTCCTTAAGGTGTTATCATAATTACCGTAACATGAGCCTCACGCTGTCGCGGCGCCTCTGAATTTTTGACACTCGGTTCAGATCGCCTGCGCCATCGTTCACACAAACTGGACGATTGGGGAGGTGCTCTTCTAAAGCAGCTCCCCTCTCACTGGCGTTTTATAAACCCTCTGAAAGCTCATTTTATGATATTACGTCTCCAAGATACGCCTTAACTATACATACCGTTGTCTTGGCGCTCAACACAAACTTTGAAAAGTGCGACTGTAACTTGGCCTTAATGTTTCAACCCTCTGCTTCCCTACAGGTGATCGAGTATAACCCTTCCCAGTGTTTGGACTGGCTGGCCGTCCAGACTCCCAGGAACAAACTGGCTCACAGCTGGGTGCTGCAGAACATGGAGAACTGGGTGGAGCGCTTCCTTCTGGCGCACAACTACCCCCGAGTCCGCACATGTGAGGAGCCCTCTGTGTTAGCCCAGCTAGTGAACATTAAAGTTATTAAAACTGTTGAGGCAGCCACCATTTTGCTCCCATTTGTTTTCAGATAAATTAATTTTAGTTCTTTTAAGGTGACCTATCATGCTTCTTTGAACAGGTTAGAATAGGCCCATGTGCTGTACAAAACATGTAAAATATATTTTTTGCACAGAATCGTTCCTAGATAATGAGATTTTATTCTGATCAGTTCTGCCTATTTTTAGCTCCTTTCAGAATGAACTTTATTTGGGCGTCTTGTCACTTTAAACCCCAGTAAGCTGCTGCTAGCCACGCCCCCAACTCAACGTTTACACAGCAGCACACAGATGCACAATTATAAACCATACATCTTTGAACAGCATTAGTTGAGCCTCCTACACAACCAACAAGAATGCAGCAAGTGTTTCTGGATGATAACAAAACACTAGACTTTTCCAGCAGCCATTGTACAGCAGTAAAACCAGCTGACCAAACGTGCTGGAACTCAGCTTGGGTTGCTAGGCGGCGAGCTGGAGTTCCACTCGGGTTGCTAGGTAACAGCAGAGTGACCATCAATTGTGACTCAACACTCAGAAGGTTTTTTGAAAGGCTCATTTTCCACATATTTTATGCACTTGGGCTGTTTTCAGAAGCAATTTAGACTCAAATTGAATTGTAAAAATGTCCAAAAAGTGAATTCTGCATAATAGATCCCCTTTAAAAAGCAATAAAACACAAGACATCCCAAAGAATTGCTGAAGTTGTTGTGGTTAAATAATCTACAGTCCAGAGGGTGAATCTGAGTCGGTCTGTCTTCTCTGCAGCTGCCGCGTACCTCCTGGTCTCCCTCATCCCCAGTAACTCCTTCCGCCAGATGTTCCGCTCCACTCGCTCCCTCCACCTGCCCACCCGCGAGCTGCCGCTGTCCCCTGACACCACCGTGGTGCTGCATCAGGTCTACAACCTGCTGCTGGGGCTGCTGGGCCGGGCCAAGCTGTACGTGGACGCCAGCGTTCACGGGACCACCAAGCTGGTGCAATATTTCAGCTTCATGACTTACTGCCTCATCTCCAAGACGGAGAAACTCATGTTCTCCGGATACTTCATGGACCTGTGGAACCTGTTCCAGGTAGTTCATCATCCAGTTCTCAAATCTTAGTTTAATTTGAAAATAAAATATTGTTAAAGACAGCTCAGATATGTAAACGTTAACTGTGTGTGCGCCAGTGATTAAGTCTGTTTGTGTACTTTGATTAGAAAGCAGCCTGTAATGTTATATTTTTAGTTTTATTTTATTATTGTATATCCATTTTTGTAACCTTCCACAGGACTGCAGATGTAAATTAGCTTATGCTATAATCTGATACAGTTTATCAAATCTTGATATTTATGTTTGAGCTGCACATTTCTAAATAACATGTATTACTGATTATTGAAGTAATTGTCAACTATTTTAGTAATTGATTGTTACATGGAGTATGCTGTGCAGGCTAAAAAAAGGTCATTTGCTCAAATAACATATTCAGAGGAGTTGTTGAGCCAAAACTGAACAAACAAATTATAATTTTCCATTCAAGATGAAAAAAATAAACTTTTTCTGTAAATATGTTGCACACAGAACTCGGGTTGCATAGTTTTAGCTCAGTGTCAGAATAATATTTAGCTGCAGCCCTAGTTTATGATTTGCACATAAACCTGTGCTGCCACCAGTTTTGGCCTCATGTTTTGTTTTTTTTTATTTTCCAGCCGAAGCTGTCGGAGCCGGCCATCGCCACTAACCACAACAAGCAGGCGCTGCTGTCCTTCTGGTACAACGTGTGTGTGGATTGTCCCGAGAACGTCAGGCTGGTGGTGCAGAACCCCGTGGTGACCAAGAACATCGCCTTCAACTACATCCTGGCGGATCACGACGACCAGGAGGTGGTGCTGTTCAACCGGGGCATGCTGCCCGCCTACTACGGCATCCTGCGGATGTGCTGCGAGCAATCGCCCGCCTTCACCCGCCAGCTGGCGTCGCACCAGAACATCCAGTGGGCCTTCAAGAACCTGACGCCGCACGCCAGCCAGTATCCAGGGGTGAGGAGACGGAGGAGCCAATAACTTCAGTTTTTATAGATTTGACTTTCTGATTTTAGTTCTGATGAGACCAGCAGGGAAACTCTGTGGTTCTTTCTTCAGAGTAGATCCTTTCAAAGTCCTGCAATGATGATATTTTGATGCTGATCTCCTTTTTCATGGAGGAGTTCTCAGAAAATTAATACTAAATACTCATAATATTACGACTTTATTCTGGTAATAATATGATATATTATTTTGCAATATATCATATTATCTCACATTTTGACTTATTTTCGTAATTTTACGACTTTATTCTCGTATCATGACGCTTTATTATAATTTTACAACTTTCTTCTGGTAGCACTATGACTTTATACTCATGTTGTTTCGACTCTATTCTCATTATATTCCAACTTTGCAAATTTATTCTCGTAACATTACAACTTCTCATATTATTTCAACTTTAATCTTGAATTATTTCGACTTCAAACTTGTATTATTACAACTTTATTATCATATTACAACTTTAATCTTGTATTGTTTTGACTTTATAATTATTTACAGTTTCTTGTATCACTACGACTACTTTTGTATTGATTGGACTTTAATCTTGTACTATTGCAGATATTTGCATATTATTACATTTTATTTTATTAGTCCAACTACTCTCAGGATCTTCCGACTTTATTCTTGTATCACATCTTTATCTCGTTTTAATCTTCTTGTAATATTATGACTTTATTAAAAAAAAAACTAAATTCTCTCTCTTCTTTGCTGCATTCACTGTTTGGAAAATTTAATTTTCTCGTCCACCATTAAATTGCCTGTTACTTTTTCTTTGAGTTTTCCCTGCTGTTCCGTAGCCGACATACTAGCGGACGATAACTTACCTAACATCATCGGGTCCTTTGAGACATAATGCGATGATGGAAGCATGGAGGGAAAGTGGATCTCTGCTGATTGTTGTCGCCCCCTGCAGGCGGTGGAGGAGCTGTTCAACTTGATGCAGCTGTTTGTGGCTCAGCGCGTCGACATGAAGGAGGAGGAGCTGGACGACATCAAGCAGTTTAAGAAAACCACCATCAGCTGCTACCTGCGATGCCTGGATGGACGCTCCTGCTGGACCACCCTCATCAGGTCTGCGCGCGCACACACACACACACACACACACAGATGGAGGAAACTCACCCTCTGACCCGTTTCCTCTCTCCCCCAGTGCCTTCAGAGTTCTGCTGGAGAACGACGAGGACCGACTGCTGGTTGTGTTCAACAGAGGCCTCATCCTCATGACCGAGGTAGGATCACCTGTCACCTGTTGACAGTCTGCATGTTTTCATGGTATCAGTGTTTTAGAGCTACAACTAACAATAATTTAGTAATCAATTATTCTGACAATCAGATAAAAAAAAGGCACATTCTGCAAGTTTATAATTTACCCTGCTGTACATTGTTTTTAATATCGTCATACAATACTAAAAAAAAAACATTAAAATATGCACATAAGTAAATATTTAAATGAGAAAATTAATGTTTTATTGGATAAATGCTGTAACATGTTATTCCGTTAGTGAATGCTTGATTCGTAGCAAAGGATGCAGCTAAAAAAACTAACTTCTAATATCAACACGTGAAAAGCTCAGTCGTTTCTGCTCGACGTTCCATCAACACAGTGAAGAGCCAGTCTGCTTTTTAATGATTATCTGATTCATAATTGCATTATAAAAGGTTCCTCATAAATTTTATTTATTTATTCTTTTACTGACTTGGGTAGAATATATTTATAGAAAAAGGGTTTTTAATCAAATGCATATATATTTTTTGCACAGTTTTGGCTTAATTACTGCTATGAGTGTTTTACACTCTGAGCTAATGGCCTTATTTAGAGCCTATATACTCAAGTTAACAATTAATTGATTACTAAATTAGTTGACTGCTATTTCAATCATCGATTAATAACGATTAATCTGATTAATCATGTTTACCCTAAACATTAATAAGACTTAATCTAATTGCTTTAACAGGAAAGCAACAGTTAAAATGTTAATTGTTTTGTTCTCCTCTTGTGTCCCTTCAGTCCTTCAACACGCTGCACATGATGTACCACGAGGCCACGGCGTGCCACGTCACCGGAGACCTGGTGGAGCTGCTCTCCATCTTTCTGTCCGTCCTCAAATCCACCCGGCCGTTCCTGCAGCGCAAAGGTCAGACCGCCTCTCCTCTGGACATGGGTTTAAAAACAAAGTGAAGCTACAGAGATGAGGTTCAAAATGTGGGCGCACCCAAAAAATCCAGAAAACTTAGAGGGAAATTCAGGTGTAACGTGAAGGTGCGGCATAAAGGCTCACACAAGAGATTTTAAAGTGCTAAAAACAATATATAAAAAATTAGACAATAATAGTAGGCCTGTGACGATAACACATTTTTACTGGACAATAAATGATGTCAGAAATTATTGCGTTGAACGATAATATTATTCCTGTGAGACTATTTTCAAGTAAATAATACTATAATAATTTAAGAACATGTTTTCAAACATCTAATGAATATTTAGCACCGCATCTGGAAGACCTTATAAATGTCCAAAATAAGCAAAATAACAGAAATGACAAATAAAATGCATACTAAAGTCTCTGTGAACAAAAATGTCCATCAACAGAGAGTCACCAGACCGAAGCTTTTCCTTGTCCAGTCTTTGGTAGAAAGAGAGACGCAAGAAAAAACAATAAATAATGCAAATGGAAATGATCAAGCTCGTTTTAATTTATTATGCAGTTAAATTATTGCTTATTGCAACAGGACTAGATAAAAAAAAATACAAATAATAATAATATCAAAATAAGACTAATAGAGAATGCTGTGCAGTTATTACAAATAAAAATATTGGAGTTGTGATCCAGGGGCTGCATGGATGACTTTTCCAAAAACGTACATTGAATGTTTAAAAAGAGAGTATTTACAGTTCAGACAAACAGAAGGTTAATAACAGTGGAAATGTTGTTAAAAAATGAATAAGAACAGGTGACTGAGCAAATGCCGTCATGGATGTAAATATTTGTTTTCTCCTTCATGCAGTGTTTATCAGCCATCTGCAGTCGACCCACTGATGAATGTTTCAGAGATACTCGATGTTCACAGCAGGTTTCTCTCTTTCCTCCTCAGATGTGAAGCAGGCTCTGATCCAGTGGCAGGAGAGGATCGACTTCGCACACAAGCTGCTGACTCTGCTCAACTCGTACAGCCCTCCTGAGCTGCGGAACGCCTGCCTCGGTAGTTTCATCTTTTATCTCCGTCCGCTCTGACTGTGGGGAGGTTCTGTAACGTCATGCGTTGCTGTGTTTGTTTCAGATGTGCTGAAGGAGCTGGTGCTGCTGAGTCCTCATGACTTCCTGCACACCCTGGTGCCGTTCCTGCAGCACAACCACTGCACCTACCACCACAGCAACATCCCCAGTGAGCAACTTTCCCCACAGGTTGTTTTTGGTTGATAATAAGCCAACAGTAATTACCTTCTGCTCCTGTTTGCAGTGTCGTTTGGCCCCTACCTGCCCTGCAGGGAGAACATCAAGCTGATGGGAGCCAAAAACAACATCCGGCCTCCCAGACCAGAACTCAACATGTGTCTGCTGCCGTCGTTGGTGGAGAGCAGCAAGGTACCTCCATGTCTGTCTCACTCAAATTCAGTACAGTGCTGTAGGCCTGTCGCAATAAGCAATAAATTAATCGGCCGATAAATTAAAACAAAGTCAATAATTTTTCTTTCTTTCTACCAAAAACTGGATGATAAAAGTCTTCAGTTTGCTGCTTTTGGTCTCAACTAGCTTCCTTTTTTTTACTCATAATTTTGTTTACAGAAACTTCATAATTAGTTTTATTTGTTGCCGTTTTGTTTGTAGATTTTGGCTCTTAAAATGTCGTCCAGTGGTAAATGTTAGAATTTAAAGTTTGTTCTTTGAGAAGATGCTCTTGTATTATTATAATGATACTTTATATTGGTCTGGAAAAAACAATATTATCATTTATCACAATAACCTCTGGGACATTTTATCACCCAGTAAAATGTGTTATTGTGACAAGCCTACAACAGTTCTGGGTTTTTATATATATTGTTTATTTACACATTTAATTAACCTTTTAAAAAGAGAAGTTATAGCAGGTTATAGGAGCAAATGCTAATTTCCAGGACAGGCTGATGTAATAGAGTACGATTTAATTTTAATTAAGGGGGGAAGAAAGTAAAATTAATTGGTGAAAAGCCAGTTTAATAACTAATTACATACATGTATGATAATTCATTATTATCATACTAGCGCTTTATTTATTGGTTTTTAAATAAAAACCATAATCCACCTGCTGGCCGTCGGGAACCTCCCCATCCTGCCGATGGCCCGCTCCGGGTCCGATCTGTTCAGGACGTTGGTGTCGATCTGCGTCTCTTTCAGGGGAAAGACGAGGTTTACGACCGGATGCTGCTGGATTACTTCCTGTCCTACCATCAGTTCATTCACCTCCTGTGTCGCGTCGCCATCAACTGCGAGAAGTTCACCGAGACGCTCGTCAAACTAAGTAATCAGTGACAACAGCAGTGCTGGCAGAAATGCTCCTGAATTTGTCTCAACTCTGGTTCTTTGTCCCCCTCAGGCGTCCTGATCGCGTATGAAGGACTCCCTCTTCATCTCGCTCTCTTCCCCAAACTGTGGACAGAGCTCTGCCAGTCACAGGTACTCTGAGCAGCTCGCACCAGCCGGGTTTCCATATTATCGCTTTAGAAAAGGTTGATAGAGACGGTAAAATTCAAACAAAACCTGTATTGTTTATTTTACATTGGCTGAACAAATTAAAACTGTGTTGTTTTTTCATTTGGAAGTAAAATAAGCTTTACGTTTCACCAAGCTTTTGAAAGTATTGGTGTATTTAAGTGTGCCGTGCTGCAGCAACGTTATAAAATAAATTTGTGATTCAGAACATTTATGTCTGTGTTAAAAAAAGAAACATGTTAAGACAATTCAGCGCTGATTTTCTGTATCGGATCGGTATCAGTATCTGATGCCAAACATCAGATAACTGTATCGGTATCAAAAGTTAAAAAAGTGGATCAGTGCGATATTTTACTAAAAGTTTTATTTGAGGAAGGATCTGAAGCAGGAACCTACCAAAGATGAATAAAACGATTATAAAATGTGCAAAAAGAACTTCAAAATGACGGTTTAAAAATCTGAATAATCTGTGAAAAAAAAAAAAAAAATTTAAATAGAAACGTTTCAAGTCAATTCAGCCCAGTTTTTGAGTATCGGATCGGTATCAGCCGATACAAAACCTCAGATATCAGAATAGGTGAAACGGGTGGAGCGGTGCGTCCCTGGTTTTACTCTAAAATAAATATTTGCTAACTGGAGTTGTTTTTAGTTTTTTTTATTATTCCAATTTGTGTTTGCTGTGAAGTTGGTCTTAGGGCTGGACAATAAATCAATAACAATATATATCTCGATAGATACGTGATTATTATCAATACATCTGATAGAATATTCAATATTTAGAATATTCACTCAACTCTGGTCCAGAACTGCAGAGCATTCTGGGAAATGTAGGCAGAGGAAAGACTTTAAGCAAGTTTGGTGGAATCAACTAACTCACTCACTCTTTGGTTACCTAGCAACAACCTGTTGAGTAACATTTGGTTACCTAGCAACAACCTGTTGAGTAACATTTGGTTACCTAGCAACAACCTGTTCAGTAACTTCCACAGGAACAGTTACAGAGTAAAATCTGACCAGTTTGGCAGCACAATCCAGATATTTAAAACAAAAATTAATCAATAATTATCAATCGACTGATATGAAAAGCTTTTATCGTCCAGACAGTAAAGAATGAATTCATCTTCCTGTTTATTTTCAGTCTGTTTTGGCTAAAACCTGTGTGAAGCTGCTGTGTGAAGACCCGGCCTTCAGCGAATACGTCAAATGCATCCTGATGGACGAGAGGACGTTCCTCAACAACAGCGTGGTCTACTCCTTCCTCACCTGCTTCCTGCCCAAGGTGCGGCCCGGCAGCAGTTTCCATGGCGACAGTGGCGGCGCTGCCGGGAGTCTGGCCGTTCTGACGTGATGATCTGTGCGTGTGTAGATCCAGGTGCTGTCCGGGCCCAGCTGCTCCAACCTGATCAGCGTTTTAGTGACCAACCTGCTGACGGAGCAGAGCAACCTGCAGCCGGAGCTGGCGCTGCACCGCGTGGAGCTGAACAAGACCAGCAGCCTGCTGAACGCTGTAGGAACACACACACACACACACACACACACACACACACACGGAGCCACAGCCAGAGGGAAGATGCGACGTCAGGGTCACTGAACGACCTTGAGATGTCTGGATTCTGACCTCAGTGTTTCACTGGATGGATGATAAAAACAGGAAGAGGAAAGAGAAAAGTTCCTTCTGTTGCTCCCTCCATCCTCCCTTTCCTTCCTTCCTTCCTCCCTCCCTCCCTCCATTTCTTCAATCCTTACTTCCTCCTTCCCTTGGGTCTTCTTGTCCTTAAATCCTCCTAATCTTCTTCTTCTGTGGTATTTCAGGATTTGAGGTCGTTGGTGTTGCTGCTCTCCATCCAGCCGCCCCCGAGCATCGATGCCGCCCTGTGCCCGGCCCTGCAGGAGCTGCTGGGTCGCTGCCGCCTCTGTCTGCAGCAGCGCAGCTCTCTGGAGCTGGAGGCCAAGGACCTCAAGTCCAAAGGTACAGAACCTTCGTCTCGGCCCGACCCGATTCGGACCGGTTCCGGTCGTTAATCTGTTTCCCGTTTTCAGCCGAGGACGAAGGAGCGACGCCGGTGAAGCGCCGCAGGGTGAGCAGCGACGACGACAGAGCTGCGGACGCAGCCGCGCCGCTCTGCATGGCGACTTCCTCCTCTTCCTCGGTGCTCCCCGTCTGCGGCGACCCGAAGCCCGACCAGCAGGAGGCGCTGACGCCCGCCAGCACCTCCGACACGGAAACGCGCGACTCGTCGTCCCTCATCGATCCCGGCACCGAGCAGGACCCTCCGTCTCCAGAACCGACGCCGGCCACTTCCCGGAACATGGACTCCGCTCTGAAGGAGGAGAAGATGGAGGTGTCCTCTTCGTCGTCCTCCTCGTTCTCCTCCTCCTCTTCCTCCTCGCTGCTGCAGGACGCAGGCGACGGGTTCGTCCAGGTGGAGGAGCCCGAGGCGCCGCAGCCGGGCGGCGCCGCCGAAGAGCGGGAAGAGGAGCGGCGAAGAGCGGAGCCGCCGCCGCCGGCTCCCTCCGACGGGGAGGCGAAGGATTCGGCGGCGGCTAACGTTAGCGGTTCCGCTCCGACGCTCCCGGAGGACGCCACCTCGCCGTCCGCCATCGGGTTGGTCGGGGACGGGTCCGACGGCGCCGGCACCTCCCAGGTCATCCTGAGCGGCGGCGCCCCGCCGCCCGACATGCTGGACATGCTGCACAGGACGGTAGAGGCCACCATCGCCATAGTTACCAAACTGTCTGTCAAAGCGACGCCATCCTCATGATGTCATCAACCCGAAGCCACTCGGAGTGCATCGTGCATCGCTTTCTTCTTCTCCTCCTTTTTCTTCTTCTTCTGCTGTTTCGTTGCCTTCTGTCGGATGATAAAATGGACGCCACATGCAGATCGGAACGCGTTGGACAAGCTGCAGCACATTTTCCTCAAAGGGCAAACAACAAAAACAACAAAAAAAGGTTTAGTTTTTGTGCGAGTTTTATACTGAATCCAATTTGTTTCGGAAAGTGATTTTATTTTAGGTTTGCTGTAACGGGGAAAGGTTTACACGACTTTCGTCTCTGTGATTTAATTTTATTGCATTTTTACTGTGTATAAAAATGGTCGTCCTCTGTGCCAGTTTTGTACTTGATGAATGAGGCAAAAGGAAAGTTGCCTTGACTTTTTTCTGTGGTTTAAATATCCAGAAACTAAGTTTACCTGTAAATTAAGAGAACCACAAGAAACTTGATTCTGTAAAGAATCCATTCTAGTTATTGCCTGAAGGTGTATATGAAAAACTATCAAAGTATATATAGATATCTTTATATATATATATCTATATATCTATATATATATAAATATATGAAAGCGGTGCTTTATTTGACTGTGGTGGAAATAAAGCCCCCATGTTGGACCAGCTGGAGCTTTTATTTTCTTTTACTGAAGTACATTCCACAAGCTGTTTTATTTTGCTTCTTCTGCTGTGTTCTGATCTTCTCTGATTTTATTTTATTAGAGAATAAATTAATAAAAACAGTTTTAATATGAAGAATTATGAGCTGACATTCATCTGGACTTTTGTTTTTTCTGTAAAAATTCAGACTGAACCGTTTGGAGTCGGATCAGAAGGTTGGAGCAGGTAATGGTTCAAAATATTTTTATTACTGCAGCTGCATTTTAACTTCATGTCTGACGGCGTTTTAGGCCCGTTGTAGATGGGAAAATAACATTTCTGCTAAAAAAATCTAAGCTCAGAAATTGCGAAAGCAAGGAAACTTATGAGCTCAAAAAGTTGAATATTTGTGAGGAAAAGAAAAATCAGAAATTTTGAGATTAAATCCAAATCCCAAAATTTCCAGATTTTGTAGCTCAAAACTTGCAAAAGTTTTTTCTTGCAAATTTTCGACATTGAACTTAGAAAAATGTCCAGGTTTTATCTTACATTTCTGAGATTAATCTCAAAATCTGAAGTTTGGATATCAGAAATGTTTTTTTTTTTCTAGAAAAGAATTTGATTTTAAATTCAGTCTTTTTTTTCCTACATTTGTTTAACACATCGCTGAATATATCACTTCCTTTGAGCTCTTTTCATTGTTTTAATATTTGTGCAGGAACATTTTAATTCCTGCACATTTTGAGAATTCTGCGTTATGCAAGATAAATTCTTTATTTGCTTACAAATGTTGACCAACATCAAACTCATGAATTCTGGCTGTGGCCTAAAATGATCACCATCCAATATCAAGGTAGATAGATATCTTATATTGCAAAAAAAAAAAAAAAAAAAACGGGGCCCAAAATGGATTCAACTTGGTCTGAAAGGTTAAAAATGTAAAAAGTTGGTCAGATTTTGCTGTCAGTAGTGTGAAATGTTTTTTAGTCAACAGGTTGTCAAACTTGGGGAAAGAAGATTCAAACAAACTGTTTATGAATAAATCATGAGGCTAACAAACATTTTCTCTTCCAGATCCATCGTGTTTCAGAGCTTCAGCCCACATGGAGAAAACAGCAGCGCTGGGAGTTCAGAGGTCAAACATCAAGACTGAGCCAAGAACCAGATGAAGACATTTCATTTTTTAATAAGTAAATATATTTATAAAGGGCTACAACAAATTATTTTTTATACCAAATTGATTAATTTGATGAAAAAATGTGGTGAATTCTTCAGGGTTTTCATTTTATACCACATTAGAAACACAGAGATGCCAATAATAAATACTCTAATTTCCTTTTCAATAAGAAGATAAACATTTTATAGGCTAAACTTCAATTAAATAACATTCCTTTACTCAACACTTGATTATCTGCAATTAAAAAATAAAACGGCCAACATGAAAAGCTCAATTTAAGTTTCACAAACAGGATTAAAACTGAATGAAAGATGCTTCAACAAAATATTAGTTTACAGGTGTGAACATTTTTTCAGCTATTTTTCTCTTGAATTCATTGGGAAAAGTTTTGAAATGAACCTGAACTTGACTGATGAAAGACAGTAAAGCTGCAGCTGTTGATTAACATGCATAAAGGAAAAGATAATTTTATTTATACAACACATTTTCAGCAAACTCCAAACAGCAGAAATCCTGTCATTAATAAATCCAGGGTGAATCCAAGAGGGCTCGCCTGAGCCCAGCCTTCTTGTTGAGAAAATTTGAACAATTGCATTGAGAGACCAGTTAACCAGTGTTTAAATTAATCTACAAATTAATCCATAATTTGTAGATTCGGAGGATGTGCAAAGAAAGGATCCAATAAAGCAGAACAAGCAGGGAGAGGAGCAGAGAGGAAAACCCAGGACTCAGTTCTCAGGAATAATTTATTTGTTCATATTTTATACAACAAAAACGCCCAGAAGAGGGACGGCTGAAATATCAGTCGGCTTCTGCAGCAGGAAACATTTGCATCAACATTTTCAAAGGTCAGTGGAGGCATTTACAAGCAAAGAGTCACAACTTGGTATTAACAAATTACTTAATTTACAGGTTGTTCATGTCGTCACATCTTTGGAAACAAAATGTTCACAAAACATCTATAAAACTGTTTCCATTGTTACATTTTCTGTTCTTTAGCATAACTCTCCTAATCTGATCCTTTATAAAATCCTTTTAAAGCTATAAAAAGTGATTTACTGAACTTATTTACACCATAGAATAATCTGACAAAGATCTCAAAACTGAAGCACTTACTGCTTCAGTTTTGAGAAGCAGGAATAAAACTGCTTTATAAAAATAATTACATTTCTTTCTGTCTCCAAACATTTGGTCATGAGTAAATATCCACGTTTTTATCAAAGCTCAGAACTTTTATCTCAAGTTGAACTTCTATAAATATAAGATGTTTTTTTTTATATACTAATACAATCCTGTACCAATCTAAACTCTTATATATTTTATAATAACTACACGACAGTAATAATTCTCAGTAACACTTTATTTGAAGGGGGTTGAATAAGACTGACATAACACCTGTCATGAACATGAATAAGCCTTCATGAATATTTATGACAACAGTCATAAATATTCATGAAGGCTTATTGATGTTCATGACAGGTGTTTTGTCATGTTTATGACAGTGTCATGACAGTCTTATTCAACCCCCTTCAAATAAAGTGTTACCTTTTGTGTAACACTTTGAGAAGTGTTACCTCTCAAATCAGAGACAAAAACAAAAAACAAAACAAAAAGTTGAATAACCTAAAATAAGAATAAAAACTTCTTGAACATCAGGGTAACTGAACATTATCAAACATCCAGCAGGTTCCAACACATCAAGAAAATATAATACTAACTAAGTCACAGAACAGTCAGTATTGGAGCCTTTATAAAAGACTCTAAGACACAAAAAAGTATAATATTCTGATCAATATTTCATTGATTATGGTTCAAAAGTAACTATAAACAGGTTTTAGTCTGGATTTAAAGGAGCTCAGTGTTTTGGTTTTTCAGTTTTCTGGATGTTTGTTCCAGATTTGTGGTGCATAGAAGCTGAATGCTGCTTCTCCTTGTTTGGTTCTGGTTCTGGGATGCAGAGCAGAACCAGAAGAGGTTCTGGCTGGTTGCTATGACAACAGCAGATATCTAATGTGTTGTGGTGCTGAACCGTTCAGTGATTTATAAACTAACATCAGTATTTTAAAGTCTCTGAGCTCCAGGAAGCCAGTGTAGGAACTTTAGAACTGGGTGATGTTCTCTAACTTCCTGGTTTTAGTCAGAACTCCAGCAGCAGCATCTGGATCAGCTGCAGCTGGAGGACTGATTTGTTAGTCAGAGCTGTGAGGAAACTAATGCAGTAATCAATGCGACTAAAGATAAACTCATGGATGAGTTTCTCTAGATCTCACTGAGACATCCGTCCTCTGATCCTGGAGATGTTCTTCAGGTGATTGAAGGCAGATTTGGTCTCTATTCCCACATGCAGAGTATTAGAATTACAGTTCATGCAAAGATCTGGGATGTTATTTAAATGCACAAGTTGTAACATACACATTAACTGGCCATTTAAATTGTAGTTTTCTAAGACGGCTATTTATAGACATTGAGTAGATTTAGGTTCTGTCCCAAACCTGTTTGCTGATAGATGACTGATCCACGTTCCAGTTCATCAGGTTATTACATGAATTATCTGGTGAGTTAGAGATCGGCTCATTATAATAGTCTGAAATGAAGCCATAACTTGATTTGTTCCTAATTATTAACTTTCCAAGTGACGTCAGGGAGGTTTGTAGAGATAAATGTGATTTAGTTTGATAAAGTTTCTAATAAAACTTTCATTAAGTAGATTTATACAGTCAGTAATTAATAAATGGGATCCAGTTCATGTTGGGAAATCTTCACTCTGAAATTTAACTAGAGACAAACTCTGATGTGCTTGAAGAATATTTTAAAGTCACAAAGGTCAAATAAAAATAAAATAGATTATTAATCTAGTGCATAAAGGTAGTACTGTGTCCTTGATCTTCCAGGCTTGGTTTGATGTCCCGTCCTCATCAGGCAGTCGTCTCAGCAAACATGGAATTGTCCCCTGATCTCGAATCTTCATTAAACTGCAACACAAAAAATGATTAGCCTCCCGTTTAAATGCTCGCATTGATCAAATATTTCATTTAAACATTTCAAAGATGGCACCTACGTTTCCCATAAATTCTATGGAGTGTCTCCGCTGTGTCTGTCCTGCCTTCCCTTTCAATTCTGTGGATCTTCTTAGCGCTTCGTTTTGTTGTAATATTTTCCTGAAATGCAACAAAACAGCTCAGTTGAAAACTAGATTTTTTATTTTATTTTGTTGTTTATTTAATAATAATAAATATAGATCAAGAACATCTAGTGCTTTCATCACAGTGTTAATAGCCATAGCTAATTCACAACACCTGTTCCTATAACACAACAGTGTATTAGAGCAGATAGAAAAAACAGGGAAAAGTTGAAAATATTCAACATTTCAAACAGAAATTTCCACGTTTTTTATGCAAAATTTCTGAGATTGATCTCAAAATGTTGGGAGACTGAGTTTACCCTCACCCTATACTACCACAAATCATGACACTTATAGTGACCACTGCTGCTCTCTCAGCAGGTGTATGTAATAACTATGATGCTACATGATTGATGCATTTATGAAAGTTTATGAAAACAAAAATTAAACTTTTGAAACGTGATGCAAACTGAGGAAAGCTTAATGTTGGGCTGCAACTAACAGTTAATTAATTATTATAGCGATTACTCTCATGATTAACCGGAAGAACAAATTAACACCTTCTGCAGATATATTTTTACAGTTTTGGTTTTATTACTGGTATTTATGACGCTGTATTAGGGTCATTATACACACACACACACACGTTTGTTTTGCTATCTTTGTGGGGACTTTCCATTGACTTCCATTCATTTCTACAGCCTAAACCTGACCTTTACCCTTTTCCTAACCCTAACCATCACATACCTAACCCTAACCCTAACCAAAACTCAATTCATACCTTAGTCCTAACTCTGACCCCTGACCCAAAAACAGGGTTTCCCCTCGTGGGGACCAGGCTCCGGTCCCCACGAGGAGCGATTAGTCCCCACAACGTAGTATATGTCAGGAAAATCATCCCCACAACGTATTACAAACAAACGCACACACACACACACACACACACACACACACACACACACACACACACACACACACACACACACTAATGTCTTGAAAAACTTGAACATTTCAGAGTTTGAAAAGTCTGAAACTCAAAGTTGTCTGAGGCTCACCTGGTAACTACAAAACCAGCCAGTCCCACTAAAACCAGGCCAACCAAAACTCCCACAACGATGCCTGCAGTCTGGCCTGAGCTGATGCCTGGAGGATCTTTTCCCGTCTCCACTCCAAACTGAACATCGTTCCCCAACACCTTGTCCAGCTCCGCTCTCACCTCTTCAGACTGGCTCTGCAGTTTCCTGGAAAATCAAACGGACAAGTTAAAACTTTAAAGGGATCTATTATGCAAATTTACATCTTGCATGTTTTATACTCTCAGTTGAGTCTATTTTTTCTACAAACAGCCCAAACACTTATAGGTCCAGTTTCATGCTTCCTGCTATAGGTCTGTGGGCTATACAAGACATGCTCATTTCTTCTTGTTTGATACATAAAATCATTCTCAGATATTCAGATTTCACCTGACCAGTTCTGTTTTGAGCTCATTAAGGAATGCACCGTTTTATGGCTACATCATGATTATGCAAATGAGCTGAAATGATTATGCAAAGGTGATGCACTGCCTCACCCTGGTCTTCTTTCATGTATGTCAACATGTGTAAATTCAGCAATTTTGACCATAAAAATGTTAAAATTACCAATAAAAATAAAAACTTCTAGAAAATTTAAGTGGATAAGTTGATTTTTTGTCATTGTTCTGTTCATTCTGGCCGTTTTGGAGGAAAGTAGCTTTTTTTGGACAACCGTTCCTTCTTGTTTTGGATGCTGTGTGGTTGGACTGATTTTGCTGTTCTGTTATGATGCGTAACCATAGCAACAGGGGAGTTTACAGCAGAGAGCAGCTGATTAACATCAGAAAAGCTGAAATAAGACCACAGCTCAAGCCTGAAATCCTGTAGGAGCTGAAAAGGAGGTGATGAAGAGCAGGAGCAAAGAGGAGAGAGAGAAGAAGAGTAGAAGATGCCATCATACACCTGCTTCAACAAACCCAAGCTAAGATCAGACACAAAACCGTAATGCACTTGTGACAATATCTGGTGATGTTAATCATGCCTCACTTTCTTCAACACTGGCAACGTTTCACCAGTTTGCCAGCTGCTCCACCCAGGTAAACAATACTTTGAATTTGTTTTATGCTAATGTCAAAGTAAATGTCAATATGTCTCCAAACCAAGAACTCCTTTAGGGAAATCAGACCATAATTTAGTTGTTCTCTGCTCTGAATACAAACCCCTGGTGAAGAGACTACCTGTTAGGAAATGGCTGTTCACAGGGAGCAGAAGAGGCCCTCCAGGCTTGTTTTGAAGCCACTGATTGGACTACTCTCTGCCAGCCACATGAAGATGACATCAGTATCATGACTTAGTGTGTGACTACTATATAAACTTCTGTGTGGACGGCACCATCCCCACCAGAACAGTGAGATGCTTCCCAAATAACAAACCTGGATCACCAGTGACATAAAGGAACTTTTAAACAAGACTGAGTTATTGAGGAGTGTAGAGAAACAGCTCAAAGTCCAGATTACGGTGAGGAGAAGTACAGGAAGAAGCTGGAGAACAAACTGCAGGGGAACAATGTCGGAGGTGTGTGATCAGATGAATAAGATTACAGGCTTCAAGCAAAAGGAGGACAGAGCAAATGAGCTGAACATCTTCTTCAACAGGTTCAGCTCAGGAACAAGCTCATCATCACTCTCTCCTGTCCCCAGCCATAAAGACATCCCACCTTCCTCTGACCCACAGCTTTCCTGTCAGACCTCAGACATCAGATCTTCCACCTCAGTCATGGACTCTTCTGCTTCCACAAGTTTGTCTTCAACCAAGTCAGGAGTTGCTGCTGCTCCCTTTGCCTCCACCTCCCACTTTTCTGTACCCTAAAGGCAGGTGAAGAAGCAGCTGGAGAGACTGAACCGGAACAAGGCTGCAGGTCCAGATGGTGTCAGCTCTGGAGTCCTGAAGGCCTGTGCAGAGCAGCTCTGTGGGATTGCAACACCTCTTCAACATTAGCCTGACCGAGAGAAGGGTCCACTGTTGTGGAAGGCATCCTGCCTGGTTCCAGTACCAAAGAACACTGACACATCAGTCATCAACGGCTATAGACCTGTTGCCCTGACATCCCTCATCATGAATGTCCTGGAGAGACTGATGTTGGCCCACCTGAATAAGCAGACAAGCACATATCAACACCCCCTGCAGTTTGCTTATCGCCATGGAGTTGGAGTTGATGATGCCATCATACACCTGCTTCAACAAACCCAGAGTCATCTGGACAAAGCAGGCAGCACTGTGAGGATCATGTTCTGTGATTTCTCCATTGCATTTAACACAATTCAGCCTGATCCTCAACAATGGATCTATAACTACCTGACAAACAGACCAAAGTTTGTGAGACTGAAGGACTGAGTGTCTAACCAGGTGGTCAGCAACACAGGAGCACCACAGGGCTCTGTACTCTCACCCTTTTCACCCTCTATGCTTCAGATTTCCAGCACAAGACCGACTTCTGTCATCTACAGAAATACTCAGACGACTCTGCAGACATTGGGTGTATCAGAGATGGACAAGAGGCCGAGTACAGAGAGCTGGCCAACCGCTTTGTGTCGTGGTGTCGGAACAATCATCTCATCTTGAATGAGAAGAAAACAAAGGTGATGATTGTTGATTTCAGGAGGAACAGGAACCTCTGGAGATGATCATGAAAAGAAGGATTCTTCATAAAATCCTCTTCAATAAAGTATTAAAGTATCAATAAAGTATTTTTGAATGTGAATCTTGATTAGCCCATAGACTTATCCTGTCCTGTTCAAGGAAACATAATAGGTCACCTTTAAAATCTAAGGTTAGAGTGTTACATTGCATTCTTAGATCACATTCACTATGTTTCAAAAAATCCTGTGTTTGAGTCAAAAATTAAACTCTTACTTTGTGACTTCCTGAGGTTTAACAACTTTATCGCCATCGAAAGTGACGAAGCTGACCAGAGTCTTGACCGATTCCCTCAGCGTTCGGCTTTCTTCTCCACCAGAGCTTGAAACCTGGATTATGTTCACCGTCCAGCCCAGTGCTTTACCTAAAGCCCTGAGAGAAAACAAATCTGTGACATGACAATAGAAATGAAATAAATCAGAAAATAAACAGAACTTAATTCATGAACGTACTCCTCTAAATCTGGAATGTTCTGCTCCACAATGTTTTCTGGCTTATTCAGAGAAATTATTGTCACATCTCTGCTGCTGGCGCTGCCCTGAACCACAACCTGCAACAGGAAAGGATGGAAAGAGATTCAGGACATGCTGCATGAATCACACAATGTATAACAATGCAAATAAACAGAATACAGACCAGATTTAAAGCAGTAAAAGTAAATTATTCTACCACAAATAACATCTGACTCTGGTTTTTCAGAACTCCATCTTACCAGCTTTCTCTTTGTTCATTGCCTTTTGTTTATTTTGTAAGAGTAGCACTACTTCAACAAATTTAACCAGAGTAAAAGTAAAAAGTATCCGTTCAAGAAATTACTCAAGAGTAAGAAAGTATTTGGTAAAAAGGCTACTCAAGTACTGAGTGACTGATCAAAACATCATTTAATATTTAACATTTACATCAACAGACGGACCAAAATGAAGAAATGTTGGTATTTTAAATATCAAAATGAAAATAATTAACATAACATAATTACAAAATAACAAAATCAAGCAAAATAAAACAATTTCTTTCTTTAAAATCTGATTTCAATGTTTCTAATTTTTCAAAATTGATTCCAAAAGGCTGTGGCCATTATCAAACATGGCTGCAGCACGCTCTTCCGGGTCTCCTGTGTTTGCCAGAGTTCGCTTAGAGTCATGTGTAACTGAGGATAAAATTATTGTAGAGGATTAATTTCTACACTTTATATCAAATTACTTAATTTTCAGGACTGTAGAGTGCACCTTACTATAAGCCGCACCTACATTTTTGTTTTTAAACTGGAAACGTACATGTATAAGCCGCTGATAACTCCGCCGC